CTGCTGCTGCTTGGTGGTCTGCTGCTGCTTGGTGGTCTGCTGCTGCTTGGTGGTCTGCTGCTGCTTGGTGGTCTGCTGCTGCTGCTGCTTGGTGGTTTGCTGCTGCTGCTGGTCTGTTGCTGGTCTGCTGCTGGTCTGCTGCGTCTGCTGCTGGACTGCTGCTGGTTTGCTGCTGGTCTGCTGGTCTGCTGCTGGCTTGCTGCTGGTCTGCCGCTGACCTTCGATTGCTTCCCAACCTTTCGTCCACCCCCCCTTTCTCAAGTTGATGTAACGAATTCTGTCCAATCCCAATTCGTTTGGTTTGGGTTTCAACCCGCCCTTCGATGGCAGCCCAGCCGTTCGCGGTGGGATTTGTCTTTTTTCCAACGCTGGAGTTCCATGGAGAAGATTCGGCTGGCACCGGACTCTATGGAACTTCTTCGGTGTTTTGGATCGCTTGGACCCATCTGTGACCAAGCGTGTCGAGAGACGAGTCTCGGCTAGAGCCGCCAGCGGTCTCGACCGTTGGTCTCGGCCGGTTTCGGTCGGTGTCGTCTTGGGGGTTTTGGCCTGCCTGGGCGGGTTTGCTTCAGTCCTAGACGCAGGCACAAGCATATGATGGTGCGCTCGCGAAAGAAAAGGCAAATAGAGATGGATAGCCTTCTTTCCAGTTTTTTGGGCCCAAAACGAGCTAGACCGTTGAACCGAACCCGGGTAAGTGCTTGTCCTCCGGTACGTCCTTTTTGCTTCCTTCGTGGGCTCTGAACATCCCAACTCGAACCGCCGGTCCGCTGGATGGGTGATCCGGGCCGTGAGTTCCACCAACTCCGTGTGTTGGGCCGTGGGTTCGCCATGCCAGGTGATCCTGGCTTTGTACCTCTACTGGGCCATCCTCAACGGCATCGGAGAGGCAGAGCCACACCGTGTTCCGAACGACGGGTCCAGTCCTGGAGGGCGGCGCCCCTTCTCTTTGAGGGACGCTCAGTGACCGTCTTGGACCTTTTCGTTCTTTCCAACCACCTTCGTTGGACTTCTTCCAACCAGACATCCCAAGGGAAAGGGACGGTGTGCGAAGAGATGGCTGGGGGCCGGAACCCTGCCGCGTGGCCGACCTCCAGCCGTTCGGAGAACCGCCACCACCGCAAGGGTGGTATAGAGATGTGTAGAGACCCTTGCTAAGGGTGAAAGAACCTGGTTCTGCATGTGTTTGACTCGCTTTGGGGTTGGACCATTGGGTGCAGTTTCGGTGTGTTATGTCCAAAGGATTCTTCACGGGTGGCATGTAACTCGTTGCCGATCTGTTAGGTCAGACATGGGGTCACTCGAAGCAGCGCCGGAAGCAGCACCCGAAGCAGGGCGCCCTCGTGTTCGGCTCGTTTAGACCACGATGTCTGACGATTCTCGGGGGCAAAACACTTCGGGTGAACAGCCCCAAACCCGGTCGCGTGAGGCCGAAAACACTGAGCTAAGGGTAGTGCTAAGGCCGGGTGAGTCCTTCGGCCACTTCCCTCGATCCAGTCGTACCTTCTCATGACTGGACGTCGTGACCTCGTGCCGACAATGGCAGCGTCTCATGTCTCGTCTCGCAGTGTCTCCATCCTCACCGCGCCGACGAGGTTCCGAACGAAAACGGAGAATGCCCGGTCTTGGAGACTCCTGGGGTCTTGGAGACCCGCGACGACCGGTCTTTCTCTTGCCCTTGAGCTGTGATGATTGTGCTGTCCCATTCTCACGGACAGTTGGTTGCTATATGTTGCTATAGGTTCCATGACATCTGATCAAGCTCGCCGCTTTTGAGCAAGCTCCACAAGAAAGCGTGTCCAACGCGGTTGTTCCGTCCCTCCCATCATGAATACTGGGTATTTCTCACATACCTGGTATCTTCTCATTTACCAGATCTCCTTTTTTTTTCAGGCATCTCAATTATATACCTGGTAAAGATTCTCTACCCCAAAAAGAAGCAGGTAGACGATGCACCAGGTATATATATATATATTGCTATGTTCCAGGGATCAGAACCCACTCCTAGTCATCCTCTACCACTTTTCCGCTGGACGAACAGACCTGCCGTCCAGCCACCATCGCACCCGTGATAGGCCAAACACTTGCCTTGGTCGTTGAGCATCGCCTTGTTGGGCGCGCTGGGCGTGCTGGTGGTCCACTACTGGGTGTCCTGGGAACTGCGAAGGGGATGGGAGGGTGATGGGAAAGAGGAGAGGGGACCGGGGGTTAAGGTGAGAAGAAGTACTTAACCATGCCATCCAGGACCTTCCCAGTGACCTCTTCAGGATTGGTAAGTGTCCTTTTCAAGACCTAGTATACGTGACCTCAGCCACCATCTCATTCTAGGTCACTGGGAAGGTCCCGGATGTTGAACCGAGTGCCGCCGGGAGTGCCATCCCTTTCTTCCTGCCTCCCAAAAAAGCGCCTCGGTCCGACCGTGGGGTTCCCACACCACCCGTCGACTCGCCTCGACCACCGGGACGAGCCGTGACTCGACGTTCCGTCCGTCCGCCCGAGGTCTGGCGCAACCACGTGCTGAGCACGCCGCTGCGGCGTCGACAGGGGAGCTTCAAGCAACGACTCCTCAAGGCACCGGGCGTCGACCGGTGCGGCTGGCGGGTTTGAGGACGACGGTGGTGTGTATGTGGGGTGTGTGGTGTTTCGGGGCGAGGACGACGACGATGGAAGATGTGTCCAAAGAAGGCCATGTTTCGGTAGTCTTCCAAGAGCAGGATTTTGGAAAGGTGGAACATGGTTCTGGTCGTGTAACATCCACAGTAAAACAAGGGTGGTTCGGCATATTCAATCAATGGTGGTTGGAAGCCTGAAGGTAGGTACCTGTCAAACCAGTGCCGAACTTTGGACCACAGCACCAAGACTGACTGTGGACCCTTTAGCATGAGGAACTGGCGAGGAACCGACAGATGCAAACTTCTTGCCAATCCTTCATCATTTGTCGTCCGAAACCTGCTACAGAGTACGATACGTGGCACAGTGTGCACAACAAAGTAGGAAGAATAGGAATAGCAATACACTAAAGGAGTACACTAGTAGCAGCAGGAGTTGTACCAGTAGTAGTAGCGGCAGCGCTAGTCTCCCATCCATCTCATCCATCCACACATGGGAAGAAGCATCAAAAAGGTGACCAGGAGTTCCATCTTTCTTCCCCAAACACTGTGTCCACACTAGCACTTCTTACGGTATCAGTGAAAGAAGTTAAGACCACGCCTGACAAGACACCACACTGTTTGGATTTGTTTGGGGTCGCCGGGACTCCGGGCCACGCCGCGCCACGCCGCGCCACGCCGCGCCACCGGAGCTCGCGAGGCCAACCCCAATCCGCAGCCCACGGAGCGAGGTCGGGTGGACCTGAATCCGAGCGGCGCTGCATCCCTGGGGATCCACAAGGGACGTGTAGAGTAGTCCATTGGAGACCCCCCTTTCTGGTGCTGGTAATTTTCGAACAGATCATGTTCATGTAAGGGATCTCATGTCCATGAAATGGTCCATGAAAGTATCTAATTGGTGGTCCTTACATTGCCCGGCCACTGCGAGCTGAAATGAACGAGTCCGTCTGCCTGGATCGTGGTCGTGAGTCCCTTGCGCGGGCGTCCCCACCCTCCGCCGGCGAGATCAATGGGACTGGATGAGACGAGGGACACATATACTGTACCAGGCACCCAACAGGTCTCCGAGTCATGGTGAACTTTTGCAGACTTAAGGGCGTGGCAGGTGGTGACCTGGCAGTGAAGGTGCTGGTACACGGCCTCCCATGAAAAGATGACCTATCGGAGGCCGCTTTTCCCATGGATTGGGTCTGAACGCACGAGCGAACGCACCATTCTCGGTGTTTCTACGGAGCGAGGGAGGGAGTTTTGTCCTTGGGACTCTGCCAGCTTGGAGTCATCCTAGAATCACATGAGAAGAGACAGAAGAGGCTTGGGAGGTTCATTCCACATAGGACCAAATACTTGCACTCACCCTGGGCCTCCAACCACCATTGATTTAATGGCTTTGACCGAACCACCCTTGTTTTAGGATTTTAGCACCGCACCGACCAGCTCAAGCGTTTCAGACGAAGATGGTCTTGGGAGACGACCGACCAGACCACCGGGCACCTGCAACGACCGGAGCCGCCACGCCGTCGATCACCGCAGCGCGGTGCGATCACCATGGATGGAGGTCCCGACCGCGCGATCACCGCGGAGCAGATCGGCGAGCTCTTCGAGTACTTTCGGGACTTCATCCGCCGCCGCGACATGCGCCGCGGACGGTTGGGATGGTTGGGACCCTTTTTGCAGAATGTTCGATGAATGTCATGTAGAGGAGCCCTGCATGGGCAGTCTGTTTCTTTCTTCCCCAAAGGTTCATTGGATTGCTCATGGCTTCGGGTTTTGGCAACATGCAGCAGTGGGTTCGGGTGGGCAGAGCTTCTACTTGGTCGGTCTCACCACACTGATCCATCACCCCAACGCCGCACTGCTCCGTCGCTACATAAGCCCCTGAAGCGGAGACGCGCGGCCGACGAGCGGGCGTGGCAGGGAGCTTTGGGGAGTGAGTGCATATATCAATGAATATAATTTGGGCCTGTCCCTTTAATATCAGTAACAGTCGGTAAAGAAGACCTATCAGGCCTGCAACCAAGCCCCATCCTCATCCACTGGGCCCTGGTAATAGGATAGACCCCAAATTCAGTGACTCTGGGGCAGCTGTTTTACTAAGGATTTTCCGCTAGCTCAACCATTTATCCCTGGCCATTGAGCGTGGGATTGCCCACAAAAAGATCTCCTTCGAAACACCACGAAACCTTCGAACCTGAGACGCTCAGCATATGACTTCCCGATCAGTTAGGGAGGTTGAAAAAGGGGTCAACGTAAGTACATCACAGAAAACTATAGACCCTGACAATGTCCCTCTGGAATCCTCAAAGATGGTCTTCGTCTACCAACCAGTGGTTTTCAGGGTCCATGTTGGTTTGTTGGAGTGTACATCACCGAGAACAGACATGCCTGCATGGGCACGGATGACCAGAAAGGTTCTAAACCCCCAAAGGCTGCGGAGGATCTGAATCCTCCACGATCCTCGACGGTTCCTTTGAGCGTCATGAATCACCTGCTGGGAAAACAAACGTTCCACTGGCCCGTGGAGTCGGGGTCAGGGTCTGGGTGAAGGAATGCACGACTTCGCGCAGAGAGCGACTGAGGTGATGATTTCCCAGACACTGACAAGGGGACTTGACATGGATGGGTCGTAAATGGGTCTTCATGGGTCGTGCACATGGAATGGTCCCATGGATGATCTGAGATTGTCCAGACTGACAAGTGCTGCAAGTGCAGACAAAAGCTTTCGGAGTTTGCACGATGTGCCTGTGATCTCTCAGGCACTATGTCACCAACAACCTGGTTTTGCCATTCACCAAGCCCTACCACCTCTCCTATGCTGAAGTCGCTGGCCCCTCGCGGGCCTCCTGGTTCGTGCCTCGACAGGAGATGGATGCGTCCTTTTCCGAACCCGGTGGCCGGACACCAACATCAAATAGGTGGAATCGGGACCAGGGGTACCTGGCCACGTCTCCTTCATTTTGGCCTAGTTTCTAACTGAGACTTAAGTTGTGTCTCCTTGTACGACATCATGCCAGAATCAAGGAGTTCAGAGATGCAACCCATATCACCACCCTCCAGCTCACCATTTGCAAGTCTGTAAGTCCACCAGTTCAAACTCTGTCACTCTCTTTTTCTGCAGCTGTTGGCCGTTTCACGTCGTCTTCAGACGTCCGCCCCGGCGCGAGCAAACCCCGGCGCGGCACATGAAGCGCGGTGACGGATCGTCACGTGGCCGTACGTCACGCTTCCACCCCTCTTGGCTGCTTTGGAGTGGCCGTATGTCACGTTCCACCCCCGAGCTCATCAACGTGCGAATTCTGTGAACAGCGACTGAACGGGGCGACCCTCAATGGAACTGGAAGAGGTACTTCAGGTACTTATACTTGGATGGGTCAGTTTCTATGTGGTCAATATCTCCTTCAGACACTCCACGGAAGAATCTTCACCTAGCTCTATATACATTGAATCAATCAATCAACCACCCCCCGCCGGGAGGTCCGGAAAACTGGAGGGGAGAGCAACCACGCCTGCCGTGCTGCGGTGAACCATTCGTCCTCGCTCCCGAGGACCCCCTTTCGTTGGTTCGTTTGAGGACCCCCTTTCGGTCGTGACGGACCAAAGGAGCCGTGTTTTTGGGACCGACCCCAGATACCCGTGGAGCCTGGAGGGGTCTGAGGGTCTGGAGTGGTCGAAGGAATCCCCGATCGGTGTCGACCAGGAAGGAGCGGGCGGTTTGGAAGGAGCGTCGTCCTGGTGGCGACCCGAACGGCGTTTGTGAAGTCAAAAAAGAAGTCCCAGTCATCTTCAATGAAGGTGTTCACATACAAAAACCACCAATCACGTGTTTTTGCAAGGGAAAAGCCAGGTTTCGATGGTTTGCGGAGACCCTTGGTGGTGTATGCAGCAACGCCCTCTGCCCCGAGAAAGAAAGTTTTCGGCGGTCGCGCTGGTTATTTTTCTAACCCGGAACCCGCTTTCTCTCAGGTGTCCCACTGCTGGAGCAACGCCTTCGAGGACTTTTTCCACAGCTTGCAGAACATGGCGCAGGGCAAGGCGGACTCGGGACTCGCGACGCGACAAGGGACGCGAGAAGGCTGCGACGGGATCGCGACTCGGGGGGACTTGTGACTCGTGTGAAGTCGCTCAAAGCTTGGCAGGCTCGGCATACCCTACTTAAGTGCTTTGACCTCATTTTACTGAAGATGGTCTGATCAGGTTTTACTGGGTCAGACTGGACTTGTAGGATTACCTCAACTTGTTTTGAAACCCAACACCCCGGTCTTCTCCCTTCTGCCGAAGCGACACTTGTTACGAACCGGACAGATGCTCTTGCTGCCGGGCAGTTCAACAGTGGATTGGTTTCCCAACTAAATAAATGGAAACCAATCCTGGAAAAGAATGCAAACCATGATTTCATATCCAGGATAACTTCAACAGATGGACACAAAAGAGGCGTGTCAGCGATGATGCTGTCACACACGGGTGGTGACCGGTGAGAACAGAATGAGTTCGTCTTTCGGTGGATCGAGTCCTTCCGGATCGAGCTTCGGTCCTCCATCAGTGGGGGGAGCTTAGGATGAAGACCCGACCAGTCTGGTTGACCATTTACCCTAGAAGTCCAAAGACTATATTTTGCCCCACTGAAGTAAAGCATATTCCTTTTCGGGTCACCTAAAGACCATTCTTTTGATAGTCTTTGACTCCCAGGGTCTATACGGAGTTCTTCTGAACACTTGGGTGGTGCGAAAGATCGTCGAAGTGGACGAAGTGGACTTCTTTTTTGAGGGTCTACACAGTTCCTTTGGCGAGTCTTGGCTCTTTTCTTCCCGCCAATATATAACTCCCAAGGAAGACCCCCCAAACCACATCTGGCCAGGCGTGCTTTGACTGGCGGAAAGTGACGTTTTGGAGCCTTGGCCAAGAGCTGAACCGCTGGAGAGGTGGAGAGTTGTCCTTCAATGGCTTTGCGCGCTGTTGAGGGTTGACGTCGATGGTCGGTACTTGGATTCCTCCGACGGTGACAGAAAACGATTGGAATGTTGATGCATTCATTAACCATCTGTGGAGGTAAGAAGACAAGTTGGCTGGGTTTGTTGGATCCCTAGCTTGATCTAGTTTTAAGGTCGCCACTTCCTCTTTAATCACAAAGTCTTGTACGATGAATTAGAAGAAATGCGACGCCCAATGATCCATCCACGGCAATGTAATCCTCGAACAGCAGACAGCCAAGACAGGCTTCGGTCATCTGCCTAACATGTTGTAACGCGACTTTCACGATGCTCGCAGGCTGTTGGGTTGTCCCGACTTGTTTGTATCACAAGGTGGCGTGAGGAAGGGGGTATATGGCTGCCAGTTTTTGTTTTGGAGCAGTGTTCTTTGGCCAATCTAGCCGAAAAACAGTGTCGCGATGTTTCCGCAGCCTGACTGGGAGAGGGCGCCAAGCGTGGCCGAAAAAGCCCCTTCGCTTCGCTCTCAGGATTTGTTCTTTCAGCAACAACCAGTTCAAAGTCCAGGAGACTCAAGTGATGAGAGTTGTTTTCGGAGCCATGCGTGGCCTAAGCCAGGCTCGTGGGTAGGCAGTCGTCAAAATGCGTGAAGCTGCGCGGCAAGACGCAAACAAAGGACAAAGAATGACAAACACACGTACTGTACATACCTACATACATACATACATACATACATACATGCATACATACATGCATTCATAATGTGTGTATATATCTATATTTAGTTGGTTGTCCCTGGCCCCTTCTCAAATCTTTCAACAGGAGGAGCTCGGGGATGGGGACCCGCTGAAGAGTTCCTTCTACTTGGCGCTGCAGAGTCCCGAGTGCCACGGCACCGCGATGGTACTGGACAACGACTGCGTGCCGCTGCCGCCCGGCGAAGATGGGAGAGACGTGGCGGCTGTTCTTTTCTTCAATTCAATGGGCTCCTGCCCACTGAGCTTGTAGCCGGAAATGAAGTGGGGGGTTCCGGCTCTACCATTCCTGGGAGTAGTTTTGATGGGTTGGTCATGTTTTTTTTAGTAGGCTTTGACACTTTGACATTCATACGTGTTTGAAGGGGCTGGGAATTGAATTGTACATCGGCTGACTCCAACATGGAACCTGCAACTCTGAGGCCTCTGCCTGCCACGTGTGTTCTTCACAATTGGTTCAGGTGGACGTAAATGGATCCTGCCAAATCAAAACCAGATCGAAAAAATTGTGCCTTGTGGACGTTGACTCGGTTTTGAGGATGGACCCCCTGAAGTTGTCCGACTGGTTTCGCGCAAAGGCCCCCAAGTTCCGAACCCAGCGCCCGCCACGGTTCGGCGTCCCTCCAGGTTCCTCCACCCCGCCGGTGCGTCCCCAAGCACCCGAACTCGCTCGCGCGTAGAGTGAGCGGCCTCCTTCTGCAGCGAGGCAGCGCTCTTGGTGCTTGTTCGAGCTCCTCCAGACGCGTTACGTGGCGCCAAAGCTCAAGAGCGGCTACGAGGCGACCGGCGGCGCCGTGAACCGGTCGAAGGTCCGGGGTGGTTCGTGTTGAGGCGAAGGTCGGGTTGGAGATGCGCGGGGTTGGGTGGGTGTCTCACCTGTTGGAATAAGTGCCCGTACTATGGATATATGAATGACACGAATGCCGAAATGATGAAAATTAACATGTGCCTGTAAAGGAATCTCCTCAAAGAACAACTACCAACTTCATTTTCCTTGTCAGCACGTTCATCATATATCGTCAGTCATCAGTCATCAGCCATTAGTCATCCACCCTCATCATCATCAGCGGCATCATGAGTTACCGTGTCATCATCGTCTCCGGTTCTGCGGTCCCTCCGCTCACCCGGCCTTAGGGCACCGCGCGCTGGTTCCCTGTACACCTCCCAATCTTCTACCGTACACTGGCCCGAAGTTATTTTAGTCAATGTCATTTTACGAGTCCTTCAGTCGTCATTTCATTCACCATATAGTACACATACAGCACCATTTGTAAGAGGTGGTGCAAAGCCATGGATCATCTCAACTGTTTCTATTTGGGTCAAACATGACCCATTTCAGGGATCACCGTCGTAACCTCCTTCAAGAGTTTTTTTTGCCACACAGGACACAAAAGGAACTCACGTTGCACCCCAACAACAATTTTCAAATCGCAACGACATGGTGTCGATGAGGGAGGCAAGCAAAAGAAACTGTAGGCAACAGAGTCATCCATTCTGTGTAGCAGGCATTTCCACGTGTTGGTTTGAACAAGAAGACTTCCCGCACTTGGCCGACCAAGATTTCTTGTTTGGGCAGCGGGTTCAACCCCTGTTCGAAACACAGAACCGGCTTCCGACCGGGCCCCTTAACATCCGGAGACTCCGGACTGAGCCGGTTTCTCGGCCGTGGTCGGACGCCGAGACCAAGGGCCACGGAGACCCGAGGACGCGGTCGACCGTCGTGGGTCGGGTCGCCAGGGGTTGCTGCTCTGCACACCCAACGGGGTGCTCCAGTGGGGCAATGCCCATGTGGACACCGTGGTGCGCTTGGCCGAGAAGGTCGGCGAGATTCGCTCCTCGGCTTTGGAAGGTCGGGCGAGGTCGGGCGAGCCGGCGCCGTGGGGGGTGGGAGATGGTGGCACGGTGGCACCAATTGATTGAATTGGCTGGTTGGCTGGTTGGCTGGTTGGCTGGTTGGCTGGTTGGCTGGTTGGCTGG